TTGGCTCGCGGAGAACACGCTAATACCCAGGCGCAAGTCGCATGGCGCCTCTGGGAAAGAATGCATGCTTTGCCTGACAATGAAGACGAGGATGATGACGATGGGCCACAGCTGGATGCGTGGGATATCAAATATGGCCGCCAGGCAGAGGAGCTGAACGATGCCCTTGTGCCGAGTTTGCCCAAGTTCACTGCTCTTGTTGAGTCTCACACTTGCATTCCGCCATTCTTGGCTGTTCAAGTGGATGAATTACCACGAGGAAGTGATATTGAATGGCAAGGGCTGGGAGGCCGATGTGAGCAAGTCAAGCTGGACATTAAAGGAGGAACATCTTCCACCACCATGGACAATCATTACAAGTATACCAATATCGAGATCGACGCGGGTTCGTCGGACGATACATTGAAGCAAATATTGAGATCAGTGAAAGAGGCTCACTGCCGAGATTCCAGTCTGTCTCAGGCTGTTTTATACATCACACACGCGGTGCCTGAAGCCTTGTGGCCAGGACAAGTTGTGCCATGCAGATCTGTATGGGGACGAGAAGGACGAAGGTTGAGTGCAGGTGTGGTCCTGCAGCAGCTTAGTTAGGACCCATTTAACAAAGAATAAAGCAACTGGATTCGAACAAATATTAAATCAAATAATATTTAGAGATCAGAGGTTAGAGGTCGTAGATTGTCCATGTCATGCTCTGTACATCGATGTACGGCGCACTGTCCGCTCGCATGTGATGGGCAAAATCCCTTCCGCATTCAGGAAAGATAGCAACAGTGTCATTCTCCCTCTACCGCGTTTTCAATATTTCTTGACATCGAACATAAACGGGACTAAATTGTTAGGTATTCTACTTTCTTCCCGGGAGTTCTCTTATCCTCCCATACACTGTACAGCATTATCCCACCGCGACATGACGTACTCATCGACATAAGCATGGCGCCATGAGTTCGCCGTGGAAAGAAGAACAAGAAGCGACGCCTCGCAGTAGCATACCTCTGACGCCCGAAGCGTTCGCCGAAGACGTCCGATTATTCAATCGCTCCCCCCATCCATATCACAGAAGCCAGCGCCTAGGATCGTGCACCCCCTCCGAGCACGGCGACCGTCCACACCCGCTCTCCTCCTACTCCAGATCCTCGCGAACAACCAGCGACAGTGGCACAGAGGCAGACGATGAAAGCAACGGTGTTTTAAGGGGATTGCCTGCCCCGCCACCCATCCCTCGAAAAGGCCTACGATCTGGCGGAGTTTTTCCCACTGACCTCGATTCCTGGCTACCTGGCATGCAACCATGGCCGTCATTTGTGCGGCCTATGTTGCGACCATCGCGGCGGAGCTCGGAGGAGGAACTCGAGGAAGAAGCTTTTGAGGAGAGACTGCGGTTTAGACGCAAGAGACGGGTGGAGGTCCTCCGGCGGTTGATGGAGGCTGTGCTTCTGTTGTCTGTGGGTGGTGTGGTCTTGTACCAAGACGGGGCGCGCTCTTTAGCTTGGGAATGGCGAAAGGGTATGTAGGAAACTGGGCTTACTACCAAGAAAGTGAACTGTGCTGATTGATTTGCAGAGATTGCCACTCATGGCCTCGTGGTCTTGAGTCTCTATGCCGCCTACCCGCTCGTTGTTCGTGCATCGCAGGGCCGAAGCTGGCGCATCTGGCGCGTCTGGTCTACGAAACGGACATACTTCTCATTACCCTCCAGTTTCGACCCAGCTCCCCTTCTCTATCCGATTCTTATCCCCATCTTCGTTTCGTTGTCGCTGTCCAACCATATTCCGCCACTTATCATGCCTAATATCATACTCAGCCTGTCCTCTTTACCGGCGCCCGTTATACCGTTCCAGAACCGGACTAACGGATTCAATACCCTCCATTGGATGGTTTCTATGATTCCAATTGTCGTTTCAGAGTATTTCTCCTTGGACCACACTGTGCCCAAACCATTGACGCTTCGCGGGCTCGACGCGGAATTTTTAATCCTTCTTTTCCCTTTGCATCAAGCGTTGATACCCACTTTAGACTTTTTGTTGACCACCAGCATTCTTCCCGCTGAGCTGCAGCTTTTGACAACTGCTTTGATCAACTTGTACTTGTTTGCGGCCTCTCCCCAGATGGAGATACTCAAAGCCTTGTTATGGCTTGGAGGCATGTGTTTGTTTGCTTCTTGTCGACATATCCTGCGTTGGGAGGTTTCTTTGGCCAGAATCCCTAGCTGGAAATTCCGCCGCGCCCCGCATGGCTCGCACTTTTTCCGCAAATTCTTGAACATGATGGACCATCGACTTTGTGAGAAGTTGAGTAGAACAGGGAACGTTCCATCAGATGATGCTTCGTCGGACAGTGATGGGCCCAATGGGTTCCCGTTTTCAAGGCCGCGCAAAACGAAGACTATGCGGGACAATCGCTCTTCCCACCCACCCGCAGAGCCAGCATCTGCAGTTGACAAGATCACGACGGAAGAGATCTTTGAGCAGCATGTTCGCAATGTGCACCGGCGACGCCATACCATATCTACATTCGATGAAGTGGTTCGAGAGGAATATGTTCGTACTACCCCTGGTGGTAGACGCAAGAAAATGATGGGTCCTGGTCTGGCTTCCTTCCTCTCACTCACTTCAGCCCAGGCGCAGGTCCGCAAATGGCTGTACGCTTTTTACGTCTATGTATTGTGCCTGATTATCATCCTTGGACCTATCCGAAAGTACGTGGCAGAGCGCGCATTACAAGGCCAGGATCCGTTTGGTTGGGCTATAGGCTATTTGTTGGGCAATTTCTCGAAAATTCGTTTTTGGGTCCTTATGTTGAACATTGAGTACTGGATTGAACTGCCGCCTCGCCCTGATGCCGATATTATGAGTGCGTCCTGCTTCCTCGGATCGGTGGAACATATTCGCCAGGTTACCTTTGGGGCTGCCATCACCCGTCTACTACTCAGTGGCTACTGCGCATTGGTCCTACTGACAGGCTTGGCTATTGTCGTTAAACTCACCTCTGTTGCCGAGGTTGACACGCGCCGCAAGATTTTCCACGGCATGATGGTGCTTATGTTCCTTCCTGCTATATTTGTGGATCCAGCCTTCTGCGCCATGGCGCTAGCCTTGGTTCTCTCCATCTTCCTTCTATTGGACTTGTTCCGCGCGTCTCAGTTACCCCCAATTTCGCGACCACTCACCTATTTCTTGGCCCCGTATGTTGACGGCCGTGATCACCGTGGCCCGGTCATCATCTCGCACATCTTCTTGTTAATTGGATGTTCGATACCCCTTTGGCTGTCACTTTCCGATCTTCCTCGCACTGGCCTGGGTCCCTGGGCTGGTTGGGAAATCCCGTCACGAGATGTGAGCATGGCTAGCGGAGTAATTTGTGTTGGTATGGGCGATGCGGCCGCATCCCTTGTTGGCCGACGGTACGGTCGGCTTAAATGGTTCTGGGGTGGCGGCAAATCACTTGAAGGCAGCATTGCTTTTGTCGTAGCTGTGACCTGCGGACTGATCGCGGTTCGTGCCTGGTTGGTGCTCGGTGGTTGGCCCGTGTCTGGGCTCGAATCAACCAAAGGGACAGCTTTCTCCGCTCACTTCTGGGCCTGGACGTTGCTCAAGGCGGTTCTGGCGGCAGCCGGAACGAGCGCCACCGAAGCGATCCTCACTGGCTGTAATGACAACGTCGTGGTGCCAGTGGTGTTATGGTTGCTGGTGCGGGGTCTTGGCGTTTGATTTGCCACGTTGATGTGTATACATGCGCGACTTGTTTGCTTTTCATTTCTTGCCCTTTTTCCTTTCTTTTTGCTCGGGGATTTGCGCGTGATTATCTGCCTATCATATTCCTGCGGTATTTGTATAGTATAGTGGGGTACATAGCCTGAGGATGTATAGATTGACCTCGACTACTCAACTAGAGACCGTTTTTGGATGCCTATACTAGCGGCGCGTTATTGCATATCTGCCTTGCCTTAGCTCCCCCCCTTTTCTCTCAATTCGACCAACCGCTGCGCCATGACTGGGACTCATAGGCTGCAGATAAGCTTCCGTCATCATACACCTGGGCAGTTTCATCAGGGTTTTGTGATCAGTCACCTTGCAACTTGGAAGTACAGGCAGATGTGGGAATATTAAATATACAGAGGAGCCTTGACAGAGCCTAGACACTATATATTGAGTCATACCCCACAGAATACGTATATTCCTCACAAGTGTCCTATTGTAACGGGGAATACTGGAGATCTCGGTATCTGTGCCGATCTCGGCCTTATCTAATCGATAAGCACATGACCTATCTCTCTCTGATTTGGACTTCTGTTCGCGGGTTGATGTTTTGAAGAGAAGGGTTGTATCCTAAATTTCTCATAATTTTGATCCCTTTTCATCCATTATTTGTCTATCACCTCTCCCTTGCTTTAGATTTCTAAGGGTTCCTACTGTTTTCATCTTATCTTTCCAGATCTCCCTTCTGACCGCCTTACGCGATCATCGCCGCCTGTCACTCGTTATCGTTTGGGTCACACCCCCCAATCGTGGAGTATCCTTGGGTCTTGGGGTTCTCTTCCCGCGTCCGCCATCACATCATCTTGCTCTTTCATGAGAACCGTCATTTCGCCCCCTTAAATCTTCGGTTCACTATTATACTCGAATCTCCAACCTTCCCCCCTCAGCTATTCTGCATCCAACACCTCTCACCGCTTTAAGTGTTTTGGATCAACGTTTGTTTGCTCCCTTGAAGTACATCATTTACACGACATCATCTCTTATAATCTACCCGAGTTCACCGGTCTCCTTCCACGGCACCCCTTTACAGTACCTTCCCAGATCCATTCTTCCGGTGGTTCCTCGACCCTTCCAGGCTTCCCGGGAGCAGCGTCATCCTTTGCATAGCTCCCCTGATGGGCCTCTCGACTCGAACGTTTCCATTGCTGCTGAGGTAGTTGTGGTTGCTGGGGTGTGACTCGATCTTTACCCCAGCGCGAGTCTACCAGAGACAGGACAGGCATTGGAGTGCCCACCGCCGTTATGGCGACCCATAATTCGAGGAGATCGCGTGAGCCCTCTCGTCCAGAAATGTCCATCGGTCGCTATACGCGGCTCGATGAGATCGGGCGAGGTAGCTTCGCGACAGTCTATCAAGGTGTTCATACAGTGAGTCGTGCCTTATCGTCATATGCTGAGTGATGCATGCTAATCAGTTGTTATCGTACAGAAAACAAAAACCTATGTAGCAATCAAGTCCGTGAACTTGTCGAAGCTCAACAAAAAGCTCAAGGAGAACCTTTCGTCCGAGATCGACATCCTCAAGGGCCTCCAGCATCCACATATCGTGGCCCTAATCGACTGCCATGAATCAACATCTCACATTCACTTGGTTATGGAATACTGTGCGTTGGGGGATCTTTCGCTGTTCATCAAGCGCCGAGACACTCTTGGATCACATAAGTACACCCGGGATATGATTGCCAAATATCCAAATCCACCCGGCGCCTCGCTCAATGAGGTGGTTACCCGGCACTTCCTCAAACAACTTTCAAGCGCACTGAAATTCCTTCGTGACCGAAACCTCATTCATCGAGATATCAAACCGCAGAACCTTTTACTATGCCCCTCACCTTCGTCGTATCGGAATGGGGCTGCTCAGGTAATTCCCTATAAAGGCAGCGATGATTCTTACGAGCCCATGACGGGGCTCGAGTCACTCCCCATGCTCAAAATCGCAGATTTCGGCTTCGCTCGATCTTTACCTGCCACTTCACTAGCAGAGACCCTTTGTGGATCTCCACTGTACATGGCGCCCGAGATTCTTCGTTATGAGAAGTATGATGCCAAGGCCGACTTGTGGTCAGTAGGTACTGTGCTCTACGAGATGGTGGTGGGCCGACCCCCATTCCGGGCCACAAATCACGTCGAGTTGCTGCGAAAGATCGAGAAAGGAGAAGACCGAATCCGATTTCCTGAAGATAACCCCGCTTCAGACGACATCAAAAGGCTGATTCGAGGTCTTCTGAAACGGAACCCAGTCGAGCGATTAAACTTCCCTGAATTCTTCAATAACAATGTGATAAAAGATCCGATTCCTGGCTTGGTGGCGGAGGACGCTCCAGGGCCCCGGCCGCGACAGCTTGTCGCAAAGACCGAAGAATCTCCTTATGATACCGGGCCTGAGGACAAACCTGCATATCCTCTCGGTCAAAAACCTATTGCAGCGCGTCCAAAATCAGGAACGCCACCGACTGCCACGCACATGCGCCGGGTGGGAAGCGCTGACCGGCCTGCCCCAAGCGTTTCGAGAGAGCAACAACCGGGAGGTACCCCCCTCAACGACCTGCTCCTGTCAGTCTTGCTACTGCTCCGGGACGCCAGGAGCTCATCGATCGTAACGCAACTACCGCGGCTATGGATCGGCAGAGAAATCGAAATACCTACACTGGATCTCCCAAAGTAAGCGAGTCAACAGTACGTGCCCAGGAGGCACGAGATCGCGCTGCACAGGAAGTGGCGTTTGAGAGAGACTATGTTGTGGTCGAAAAGCGAGCTGTGGAGGTCAACGCCTTCGCGGATGAACTAGCCCATAGCCCACGCCTTCAAGGCGGGCTTTCTCGATCAGGACAAACTGGCGCCGGGAGCCGCCGGGCAACAACGCAGGGTCTACCTACGGTGTCACCATCTTCTCCACATGCCAATGCGGCTAAAGCCATGCAGGTTGTTTCGGGTCGTTCGCGAGCAGATTCCACACACCAGCGCCAACATTCCTACGAGCGACGTTATGGGCAAAGTCCTACGTCAGCGACCTCGGCCATCTCGAAAGCACTCAACATGGCTAGCGGTCGTCTGTTCGGAATGGGCTTCTCTCCTCCACTTGCCATCACCAAAGGCGGGCGATCTCCTCCTCTAGCCTACAACCCTTTCCCCGCCTATCCTGCTGCACATGCTAGCCTTTTGATCACCGGGGATGGTCCCAAACCCAATGCAACTGTCGACGAAGATTGCAGGGCAGTCCAGGAAATTGAGGAATGTGCTACGCGTAGTGACGTTGTTTTCGGGTTTGCTGAGGTGAAATACAAGCAGCTTATCCCGTTAGCACCTTCAGCACCAACTGACCCATCTGCGAGAGCTATGGACACAAACATTGAACCAGACTCTGCCGATCCCGATGATGGCCTGACAGTCGATGCTATTGTTACGTTGTCCGAGGAAGCTTTGGTACTATACGTTAAGGCTTTGTCTTTGCTTGCCAAATCAATGGACATCGCTGGAGCTTGGTGGTCGCGCAAGAACCGCGAAGAGGCATACGGGGATTCTCCTACCAAAGACAGCATGAGCGCAGCTGCCGGTACCCGGATCAACTACGTTGTGCAATGGGTGCGCAGTCGGTTCAATGAAGTCATTGAAAAAGCCGAATTTGTACGCCTAAAGCTCATCGAAGGGCAGCGACGATTGCCACCAGATCATCCTAGCCACCCAGATAACCATTCCATTGGCTCCACCACCGGCTCAAGCTCCACCGCCGACGTAGTGGTGAGCCCTGGCGTGACAGCAGAGAGGCTAATGTACGACCGCGCACTTGAGATGAGCCGGGCGGCTGCCATTAATGAATTGACTGGTGAAGATCTGGCCAACTGTGAAATTACATATGTCACTGCGATTCGCATGCTCGAAGCTGTGCTTGAGGATGACGGAACACGGTCCATGCCCGGTAGCAATATCGAACGGCAAAACGGTTCGCAACCTGGTGACAAGGTTATTCTAGACGAGCTGCAGGTGGAGGATCGGCAGGTCGTTATGAAACGTGAGTCTTACCTAAATCTACCCACCAAACTTCCCCCAAACTCACACCTTGATCCAGTCGTGTCCAGTATGCGTGGCCGCCTTGCATCCGTCCGGAAGAAGGTAGCTGTTCTATCCAGGCGATCCTCGATGCCGACTCCGGTGGGCAGTGCGGGCAAGACACCCACATCGACCGTTTCTCCTGTTCCATATTCCACGGGGGTGACACCACCTAGATGAGCATTTTGTCCTTTTCCCAATTTCCGCCAAATCTATCGGGATTATTACGATATTTTTCAATCCAGTAGCGTCATGATTACAGCCTTATATGTATAAGGCTTGACTCGCGACGCTAACAATTGACATTGTTTCCCCGTCCTTTTTATATAAGGTAACCCCTGGCTAGCCTCCAGGGTCATGTTCTTATCTTTTGCCATTCATCTGCCACTTATTTCTCTACGGAGATCTAATTTCTTCGTTTATATTTGTTGGTCTATCCAGCCCACGTTTTGCCTTATATCCCACAGCACGAGACCAGGGGAGTTCTTATTCATGTTCTTTCTTGTCATGTCATGTCTTATTGCCTTTTTTTTCCCTTCTCTTTTTTTTTTTTTGTTCGGATTGGCGTTTGACCCGGGGACCCACGGTATACAGATTGGCACCGAGTTTCTTTTTGGGCTGGGGACGCACATGGTCACGGCGTTGGGGTGCAAGATTGGGTTAAATGCAGATACTGCCAGATGTATTGTACATAGAGAAATCGAGGAAACTCATCCACATTTCTACAAACCGCGTACTAGGTGGAGTAGGGTATCATTCAAGTTGTCTCAGTGTACTCTAAGAGACTTGGCAAAGATCTACCTAAACGCAAACAACTTTAAAGATGGCGTGCTTGACTATGTGTCATAGTTTCCATTTTGTTCATTTAAACCTCTCGGGATATTGTCACTTGCTTTTTTCTCCGGTATATTCCCTCAAGGGGGATATTTCCAGATGTCCCTGACACGTGCTTGAGCCTAAATCATAAACTTATATCCTCCAACTTTCTTTTATGTTATATCTTAGAACAACTAAACCGAATAAAGAATATGGATCATGTTTACCGAAGTTTTCGCACGGCCCGGCCCTGACATGGATTCTCGGCAGCCCACCGAGCCCCAGCATCCCTGGTACCCGAGGCTTTTCTTTCCTTTTTTTTTATATTGCGCCATGATGGTGAATACAGGCGCCATGAATCATGTGTTGTTTCTTGTTTTTCAAGACAAATGTGTGTGTCTAATTGGGCCGACTTCATATGTAACGTTAGAAATTATATTCGGCCCGGCTAGGCGATGGTGCGCGATGGTGCAATTCGTTGCCTTAAAGCTTCTGGAATTATTCCAAAGAGGCCCAATTTTACAAAAAGCCACAAACTCAGCTAGAACCTTTGCCATCTGGTGATACCTCGCTTGCAATTTGATTTTGATTTCCAAGGTTGTACAAGACTCTGCCCAGCCGCAAGGACCTATGGCATCACATTTAGTGCCAGCACCTCATTTTTACGCCGTCGATAGCCGTGCTGGGTTTGCCTTTTGAATGCTCAGCTGAATACAAATACTCGTCGATCAGTTCCACGTGTGGGTGGTTCGATCTGTATAACCAACATAATGACTGAACCGGCTGATCCTCTTGTCGAGGCTTCCAACAAGTCACCGGCACTTGATACAAAACCAGCAGGAGACGATGGCCTCCGGCGTGCAGATGGTATCTCGGGATTGTGTATGTTTGTTCCACAAGATTGGTGATGGCTGAGTGACACTAAATCGTTTCACCTTCAGATGAAGGAAATGTCTTCGAGACGACACCCGACAGCCGTCGTCAGATTGGAATTTTCAGTGCTTCGCTCCTAATCTTTAACCGGGTTATTGGCACGGGTATTTTTGCCACACCGAGCACTATCCTTGAATTGACTGGCAGTGTCGGTCTCTCATTGTTCATGTGGGTTATCGGCACTGTAATTGCGCTGGCTGGGACAGCAGTGTACCTGGAATGGGGTACTGCAATTCCAAAGTATGTTGTTGAACAGTGAAAATATCAAAGGGAACGCACGACTGATTGATCTGACTGTGTATAGAAACGGAGGCGAGAAGAACTACCTCGAGTACGTTTATAAAAAGCCCAAGTTCCTGGCCACTGCCATGTTTGCCGCCTATGCCGTGTTACTCGGATGGGCAGCAAGTAACAGCGTTGTCTTCGGTCAATATATCCTCAATGCAGCAGATGTTGAGGTTGGACGGTGGAATCAGCGTGGAATTGGCCTGGCCTGCCTCACGGCCGCTTTTCTCATCCATTCCGTTGCGCTGAAATGGGGTATCCGTCTTCAGAATGCGCTTGGTGTTATCAAGTTGATTATCGTCTTGTTCATCATTGTTTCTGGCTGGGTGGCACTTGGTGGCCATACAAAGGCTGAGACGCCGCATAACTTCACCAATGCCTTTGAAGGCACCAAGGGAAGTGGATATGGCATTGTCATGGCGTTGTACAACGTCATCTGGTCCTTTATCGGCTATTCGAATGCCAACTATGTAAGGACATGAACATATGAGTTTCGTCTATTGATCATACTGCTAATTACATTCATAGGCTTTGAGCGAGACAAAGAACCCAGCCCGCACGTTGAAGATTGCAGCCCCCGTTGCTATCATCTCAGTTGGAATTTTGTATATGTTTGTCAACATCGCTTATTTCGCCGCTGTATCGAAAGCAGATATGCTCGAGTCTGGAAGCATTGTGGCCGCCGTGTTCTTTAGAAACATGTTCGGCACACAGGCTGAAAAGGTCATGTCGGTCTTTGTGGCTCTCTCTGCGTTCGGCAATGTGTTATCCGTCATCTTCTCACAAGGGCGAAGTATGTATTCCTCACTTGCACATTTGAACGGTATACTGATATGGTCTCGGTACAGTTGTTCAAGAGCTCGGCCGTGAAGGGGTCTTGCCCTTTTCCAAGGTCTGGGCCAGCAACTGGCCTTTCCACTCGCCAGCCGCTGGCCTGCTTGAGCACTATATCGTCTCGGCCATTATCATGCTCGCACCCCCTCCCGGTGACGCATACAACTTCCTCCTCAAGTATGTGATTCCGAAGGCACGAGCAAGATCATTACTGACCAATTGTCCCAGCCTCATCTCTTACCCCCTCTCAATTGTCAACTTCTTCGTGGCCGCTGGCCTCGTTCATATCTACCTCACCAAAGAGAAAAATTACCCGAACTGGGCGCCCGGAATCCGTGCTACCCTACCCGTCACCATCTTCTTCATGCTGTCGAATCTGTACCTCGCGATTGCGCCATATGTGCCGCCCAGCGGTGGCCAGAATGTGTATGAAGAGCTGCCGTACTACCTACACTGTGTGGTAGCACTGGCGCTCTTCGCAGCCGGAGCAATTTACTACGTTGTCTGGGCGGTGTTGATGCCTCGGATTGGTGGGTATGTTCTCGTCAAGGAGTCCGTTGTGGATGCCGATGGATGGTCTCGCAGTGTTTTTACGCGGCTACCACAGGCTCAAGCAGTGCACCCATAAGAGAGGCTAGGTGTAAGATAAAAATCGGATTGCTTTTGATTTCGGATCCTTATATACCCGGGATATAGATTTTGTCATGGTGACTTGGAAGAGATTCCCACCAGACGTTACTAGTAATAGGTAATAGCGGAATAGAACATTGAATCATTGTCATTGTCATTATTGAGACCTCATTACCAACTCCCCTGTCATGCTGTGACATCAGAGCAATGAACCGCGGTGCTGTATGTTCCAGTCTTCTATGGTAGCCCACCCAAGAGAATCGATTGAAACTGTCATGAGCCCCTCAAACTTGCTGGTATATTGTCTTGCAAGATAACAGCATAAAAGCCATTTCCAATCAGTTGTCTGTCATATAGAATTTAGACATCCACTGGGTGAACTTGCGTGTTGAATAAAGGAAAAGAAGAAGAAGAAGAAAAAAAAAAAAAGAAAAGTAAGAGGACCACTTCTATTCACCGCCCTCGCATCTGCCGGACTCTGATCTCATGTTTTTCTGTTTTGACTGTATCAAGTCCGTGGCTCAATTGTTCTCACATTTGGTTCTATTTTAATTATTTAATACTAATACTTCTTTATTTCTCTTTCTCCTTTTTTCCTTTCCTTTTTTTCCCGGTAATCGGGTTCGTGGAGCTGATGCGCCGCTTCTCCACGCGTGTGCTTCTGCAGCAAGCAAAGCCACCGCTTCTTTCCGCCAGATCCCCTCTCCCCCTCTTTGTTTCCGCTCGCTCTCAAGCCTCAGTCCCTAGATCGATTCAACGTCGCTCTCCTTCTCCATTATCACAGACCTCTAAACGATACTGTTCCTACCGCAGAATGTGCAGCTCCCGCCGCGAGACCTCCGGGTCAACAAACGTCCAGGGCCGTGAGGTCCTACCTACAAACGTCAAGCCCCAGCATTATGATCTGACACTCGAGCCCAACTTTGAGAAGTTCACATACGAGGGAACAGTTACCATCGAGTACGTCATTTGTGCATAGTCATATATATCACTCACTCACATCTACTTCTAGCCTCGATGTGAACGAAGACACCGATTTCATCACCCTCAATTCCAACGAGATCGAAATTCACAGCGCAATTGTTTCAGCTAAGGGCTCGGTGGTGGACTCCAAGCCCGAAATTTCCCTAAACAAGGATGACCAGACCGCAACTATCAAGTTCAGCCAGGCTATCTCCGCGGGGTCAGATGCCCAGGTGAAGCTCACATTCACTGGTATTCTCAATGATAACATGGCCGGATTCTACCGATCATCATACAAGGAGAATGGCGAGACCAAGTACATTGCATCATCTCAGATGGAGCCCACGGATGCCCGCCGAGCCTTCCCTTGTTTCGATGAGCCTGCTCTCAAGGCCAAGTTCACCGTGACTTTGGTTGCAGATAAGAGCATGACTTGTTTGAGCAATATGGATGTTGATACTGAGACCGAGATCCAGGGTGGTGCGAAGAAGGCTGTGAAATTCACCACTTCGCCCCTCATGTCCACCTATCTCGTTGCTTTCATTGTCGGAAAGCTGAACTACATTGAGACAAAGAACTTCCGGGTTCCCATCCGCGTGTACGCCACCCCCGACCAGGATATTGAGCACGGCCGTTTCTCATTGGAGCTTGCTGCCAAGACTCTAGCCTTTTACGAGAAGGCCTTTGATAATGATTTCCCTCTGCCAAAGATGGACATG